GAGGAAGAAGAAGTAAGAAGAAGGGAAGAAGAAAAGAGAAGAGGGAAGAAGAAAAGAAGAGGAAAAAAGAAGAAGAAGGGAGGGAGAAGAAGAAGAAGAGGAAGAAGAAAGTAAGAGAGGAAAGAAGACAGAAGAAGACGAAGGTAGAGCAAGAAAGAAAGAAGGAGAAAAGAGAGGAAAGAAGAAAAGGGGAGAGAAGAAAGAAAGAAGAAAAGAAGGGGGAGGATAAGAAGAAGAAGAAAAGGGAGGAAGAAAAGAAGAATAGAAGAGCAAGAAGAAGGGGGAGGAAGAAGAAGAAAAGAAAAGGGCGGAGAAGAAGAAGAAGAAGCGGGAAGGAAGAAGAAGAAGAGAGGGGAGGAAGAAAGAAGAAGATAGAGGGGACGAAGAAGAAGAAGAAGATGGCGGGAGAACGAAGAAGAAGAAGGAAGATGGGGGAAGAAGAAGAAGATGGGAAGAAGCAAGAGAAGAAGGGGAAAGAAGAAGAAGAAGAAAGGAAGGGAAGAAGAAGAAGAAGAAGGGGGAAGAAGAAGAGGGGGAAAGAAAGGAAGGGAGAAGAAGAAGGGGGAAGAAGAAGAAGAGCGGAAGAAGAAGAAGAAGAGGGGAAGAAGAAGAATGAGGGGAAGAAGAAGAAGAGGGAAGAAGAAAGAAGAAGAAGGCGATGGGAAGAAGAAGAGAAGGGCGGGAAGAAGAAGAAAAAGAAGGGGAAAGAAGAAGAGAAAAAGAAGGGAAGAAGAAGAAAAAGAAGGGGGAAGAAGAAGAAAAAAAGGGAAAGAAGAAGAAAAGAAGGGGGAAGAAGAAGAAAAAGAAGGGGAAGAAGAATGAAAAAGAAGGGGAAGAAGAAGAAGGAAGGCGATTGATTAACTATCCCGCCGGAGAAGAAGAAAGAGGCGGGAAGAAGCAAGAGGGGGAAGAAGAAAGTGGCGAAGAAGAGAAGAATGGTTGGAAGAAGAAGAAGGTGGAAAAGGGGGAAGAAGAAGGGGGGAAGAAGAAGAAGGGGGAAGAAGAAGAAGGGGGAAGAAGAAGGGGGAAGAAGAAGAAGGGAGAAGAAGAAGAAGGGGGGAAGAAGAAGGGAAGAAGAAGGGGAGAAGAAGAAGAAGAAGAAAAAGAAGTTGCATAAGACCTAAATATTTCTTCCACAGACTAAAGTATGGGAGCGGTAACAATGGTCAAATACGTCTTTTCCCCCCCCCCAGTCCACAACACTCATTGAGGCAACACAGAGGATACAAATACACTTCAAATGAAATGTGTCAAGTAACATGAAATTATTCATTTTTCCTTCCCAATCACTAAAAGACACCTCGTTTGTCTCGATGGTGGACGGCAAGGAGTCGAACTTCGAGTGACAGAAGATTGCAGGTTACTGTAATACTATACAAGGATATTTGCCGAATGATTTCCGGCATCCACTGTGGATTTGCTGGGCGGTTTGACACAAGTATTTTTGAATGGGCCAGTACAGATAATCTCAAATGAAAGACATTGAATTAAGTAAAAGGCAAGGTGGAAATGAATTTAAAAAGATCGTTGCCGTTCGCAGCGTTCGGACGACCGGCAGTCAACTGGACCACAAACATTTTGAGTTAATGGTTGTTCAAGAAGCAGAGTCGTGTTAGGAAGGAAATCAGCCCACAGACACCCCGCCAAAGGTTAATAGTAGGGAGAGGATATTTATGCCTCGGCAAAAAAAAAACAAAAAAAAAAACACCTCTCTCACTCTCACCTTCCTCTCTCTCTTCAAATAGGCATTTATTTTTTAAAAATTCTTAAATATGCACTTTCATAAGTTAAAATTAACAATATTTCATTTTCTGTATAAACCTTTCCTTGATAAAATTCAGGAGAAGCATGCTTAGAATGAAAAGATCCACGTTTGTGAAAACAATATAATTTTTCTTAGTTCGCAGGAGAAATAATAAGTAAATATTCACCTAGTATGTCTTCTTATATTTTTTCTACCTGGTTTAAAAGATATGGTATCAAGAACTTATATTTGCATAAGTATTTTATCATTTATAGAAAAGAAGAAAAACAAACACAAACTGTAACAAGCTCTTTCAAATTAACGAACATTCCCAAATAAAAAGAATCTACAAAAACATTAAACGTTTTAGATAAAAGTCACAACCTTTAAAGAAATATGCAAAATAGGCGCTTACAATTTCATGAAAATGCAGCAACAAGAAAAATAGGCCAAATATGCACAAATATTCACTAATAAATTAATCTACATTGCATCCAATTCGAACCAAATGTAAAGAAAGTTCTCTTAGCTCAACCCTGAAGCAACACACAAAAATATGCAAAATAATAGAAATCTGGTCCCTAGTTATTGGTTGAACGTAAAAATGCCTTGCATCTATGTTGGGAGAGAACATTGGGCACTTAGCACATGTGCTCTGTGGAGATCAACTCCCCTTAAATGTAAAAATAGGATAAGTGTAGACTAAAAGATTTCTTCTTGCCAATTCGAAAATTCAAAATCATGCATGGTTTCATCTCAACCCATTTTAGAATAGCTGACATCAACAATATGGATGAGGTCATAGGTGGATAGCCTGAGTAATGAATAGGTGGCCCGCAACCATATTAATGCTTTTAGTTGGGACCTTAGGAGTCCCCACGAGAGTCAGGTTAACAAACAAGGACATCAGAAGAAAACTAAAAACCAAAAACCTAATAGAAGAGCTTGAGGAATCACAAAAGAGAGAGAAAGAACATATTAGCAGAATGGAGAGTAACAGACTACCAAAACGTATCAAACTATAAACCAATTGGAAAAAGAGACATTGGCATGCATGGCTAGCATGGGAGGGGAACCACAAAGGAAGAAAAGACGTGAAGATGAAAACGGAAGTGACAAAAAAAAAAAAAAACAACAACAACAACAACAACAACACGACATTTTAAAAATCTTAAATCTCTTCAAAAGGAGGCCAGATACTTTATATTTAGAATCTTCTTTTATTCATGTAATCATTGTATATTACTAACATGTGTGAAATCTTTGAAATAATTAGTACTAGTTTCATTTCCTCCAAATTCACTACAATAGTGAAAGTGCTTGCAATTTGTGCTTCAGTTCTTTTCTGAATTTAGTTTGATTTGATTTCCTATATATAATCCGGCAAGGCCGGTGGCTTAGTGTTACAATGGTTGTATGTAGAACAGCAATACTTTTTAGGAAAAGTCTTTTGAAAAATTTGAGCATCATGTTACCATGTCTGTATCAAGTCTTCAACAGTGTTGGTTTCAATTAGTAAACTCAGGTGAAAATAGAAATCAGTGAGAGAGAGAGGGAGAAGGGGGGAGAGAGAGGGAGAAGGGGAGAGAGAGAGAGAGAGGGAGAAGGAGAGAGAGAGAGGGAGAAGGGGAGAGAGAGAGGGAGAAGGGGAGAGAGAGAGGGAGAAGGGGAGAGAGAGGGAGAGAGGGAGAAGGAGAGAGAGAGAGGGAGGGAGAAGGAGAGAGAGAGGGAGAAGGAGAGAGAGAGAGGGAGGGAGAAGGAGAGAGAGAGAGAAGGAGAGAGAGAGAGAGGGAGAAGGAGAGAGAGAGAGGGAGAAGGAGAGAGAGGGAGAAGGAGAGAGAGAGGGAGAAGGAGAGAGAGGGAGAAGGAGAGAGAGAGGGAGAAGGAGAGAGAGAGGGAGAAGGAGAGAGAGAGGGAGAAGGAGGGAGAGAGAGAGGGAGAAGGAGAGAGAGAGAAAGAGAAGAAGAATTCAAGCCTTTTTAAGAGAATCATGATGTTTAAAAGAAAAATACTACTTTACCCAAATGTCCAAAAAAACTACTTATCTTTTGAAAAAATGGCACTGACAGTAATTGAAGATTTAATTATAAAGAACAAAATTGATTTAAAACATTATCTATTTTACATAATTGATCTTTAGAAAGGGATTTAAAAATATCTTCAATTTCCTAGCGAACTGGACCTGTGCCATTTTCATAAGGGTGAAAGATCTAAAAGAAAAAATTAAAATGTTCAAAATTATATGAGTTGTGTCCTCAATGAATTTACAAATTTCAACTGTGATGAAAATTCTGTGAATGGCCCAAGTTCTTGTGGGCACAGACTGACAACAGACCATTTTGAAAAGAAAAATAATTTTTTGAAATCAGGGACCCCAAATCACTTTTTCAACAAAATTCCTCCCCCCCCCAGCTGGCTTACAATTTACATTGTTTATAAAAAAGTAAGTTAGTTTGACACTTTCAATTGTTATACAAGATGAAACTTCACATTATGAATAGTGCATGTTGAAAATTAAACAGTTTTGTGTAGGGTTGAATTAAAATCATACAAATTATGGGATTGGACATGCATCAGCCTGAAGGTATTCCATTTATCCATTGCTTTGATGTGGAGACACAGCAACTGGCAAATCAGCGAAGTGATAGTGCATGAAATGCGGTCACAGGAGCTGTTACAGGAGGGGGATAAGATTGCCGAAACAATCAAAACAGAACAGTGATTAGCAGAAGACCAGGTTTCCTGTGACGCATAATTTCAAAAAGCAGAAAGATTCATAAGGAGGATCGGTTAAACGAGGCAAGTATGAATATTAATTGGTTGAAATCAACAATTATAAAGGTTTTATCAGTCATATGACCAGTAAGTAAATGTTTTGCCTAATTTCCATCAAACCCAAAATGATTAACAACAGCAGCAGCAGTAGCAGCAGCTGCAGCAGCAATAATAATAATAATAATAATAATAATAATAATAATAATAATAATAATAATAATAATAAAGATACAATATGACTGTGTGGAGGTTCAGAAAATAGTGTAACGACAAAAGGTATTGTTTCAGTATGGCCTGATGAAGAAAATGAAGAACGCAATAGATGAAGAATTCCTGATTTACTTGAATTATTCCGCAGAACAAACACCAAAAACAAAATCTTCCAACCATCTCTCTCTGCATCAGTTTCATTAGACTGAGAAACTAACCTTGTAAAGGCGGGTCTCCAACTCTCCATCTGTGTCTTGCTCTTGCGTCATGAGACAGTATTTGGACACTTTAGGATCGGCAATGTCTGTAACGTCAGTAAGCTTTGTAACCGACTTGCGCTTCTTCATTTTCGGCTGCAGAACTGTGTTCAGCTGAGTGGGCATGGCAGAACGGTGGTCCAACCACATATCGCTGCAAGACGATCGACGACAACGGTGAGGAGTGGTAGCAGTGCTCCCAGGCTGAAGAACAGAAAGGAATCATACCACTGCGTGACCATTTCTTCAAACACAATAAATAGGGAGTATATTTCTATGATTTTGCATATTTTTATTGCTTCATGACATAACAATGTGAAATTTCTTAACCTTTGGTTGGAATTTGAAGCTACGTAGATTAATATCTTTGTGCAAATGTGCATGATTTCCCAGGGAGGTGCATATTTGTGTAATTAAAGGCACATATCTTGCATATTTCCTTAAAATAGAGACACTTATCTCTAAAAAGTTTCAACTTTTCTTATGATCTATTAATTTGATTACAAAGAACTTGTCACACTTTTTTTCTTTTCTATAGATAAAAAATTCTTATGCAAATTTAGGAAATTTCTTGATAGCACATTTTTTTAAAACCAGGCAGAAAAAATGTAAGAAGACATACAATGTACTTCCCTAAGGGGAATATTTACTTATTATTTCTCCTGCGAAGCAAGGCAGATTATATTCTGCTTCCACAAAAATATATCTTTTCATTCCAAGCATGCTTCTCCTGGATTTTATCCAGAAAGGTTATGCAGGAATTAAATATTAATTTTAATTGCATATTTCAGAATTTGTAGGTCATAAATACATATTTTTAAAAGCATATTTCAAGATTTTTTTTAGGGCATAAAAATTCTCTCTGTTAATAAATTTTCAAGTTCCTCAGCCAAGAATAAATATGAGGAAAAGCAGAGTTTTTCCTAATAACGTGCATTCAGTCAAGTTTTGGATCAGGAGGAAATTTAGCAATCTAATGTGAAGGACAATTAAAGGTTTTGGTTAACATAAATGGTATCTGCTGTGAAAAATTAAAGAAATTGGAATTTTAAAAAGTAATAATAGGAGAATCACAGAACAGATGTTACATAAACTACAAAAATTTCTAATTCTTTAGAAAATAATACAATTTCTACAATGTTATCCACAATCCTCAAGATTGATTGGTTATTCATTGATTCAGTAAAACTGGTTAACACATAGGGCGTTTTACACGTTTGTGATTTGTGAGAGAACCTGGCATACAAAGTTTCTAGTGCCAGTTCTACCTCTACTGTACAAAATGTATTAAGAATCCTCTACTTATGTCAAAATAGAAAAACGTATGAAAATGCAGATCAGTGTTATGTATGAATGTGAAACATATTCTGTGTTATAATAGATGATTTTCTAATTAAATTATTGCATTTACAATTTTTACAGCAAACATTTTTACACGTGTATGCAATTCATCGAGCTTTGTGCACCCAAGACTTAAGATCTCATGTTTTGGCATCTTCTAATGTAAAAAGTCATGCTATTGGTTGGGTAGTAGTGCAATGTTTACAAACAGCCAATTTCCTTTATGGTTCTAAATCTTTGTCACATTATTCAATTTCCTGTTGCATACAGATACAATAAACCGAAAAAAGAGAATGAACAATTTCCTGCAAACTTATGAAAATCTCTTAAAATTACTAATGTATTAAATTATTATTTAATATTCTCTTCATCAAATAAATGTAAGCTTTTACCTTCTTGTATATGTACATATATAGGAATTACTATGTGTAGTACACAGAAAGTTATATAATGCAGTGGAAAACCTTTCAACAGATATACACGGTTTGGGGTCTTGATAGTGCAAAAGTATGTTTGTTTGCTTGTTTGTTTCTTTCCCCTTTCTTTCTCAAAACTTTAATCTGTTTATGAACAACACGATTGTAAATTTTTTTTCAAAATGAATATTCCTTGGTCAATCTTGTTCCCCCCCCAAGCAGCGATTTTGAAAACCATTCTAAAATTTTAAGGATACTTTACATGAAGCCCCTGGAATATTTTCAAAATTTTCTCAAAAAGTTCCCTAATTTTTCCTTTAAATTTCTTGTAAGAATAGAGTGAAGTGCACTTATAAAGATAGCACAGATCTAGTTTTCACTGGTAACTCTGAATTTTCATAAATTATAAATGTTTCAATCTTTTTCGCACTTCTTACAACTACATTAACGAAGATACAAGTCTTTTCTTCAAATGAAATTTGCTCTCTAAAATAATGAAAGACATGTAGATTTTTTTTGAAAATTTTTGTAGTATGAACAATTTTAAGTGAAATATAGGCAATATTAAAAAATATCAATTTACTCAAAAACAAATCCAATTTTTTCCCTTAAAACTAACTATTTGTATGGATAGTGCTAAATGTACTATATAAGATAATGTAAAAGCAAGTTTTTTTTTTGTTGTTGTTTGTTTTAAAAATACAAATGTAATTTATTGGCATCTCTCTCACATTGTTAATATTTACATTAACAGCCATTTGTATACATTATAGAATTTGTTTAAACAAGTGCTTCAAATGATATCTTATAAAGTCTCTTGAAAACTCAAAACGTTACTGTAAAAATGGGCCCAAAACTCTCTTCAGAAACCCTCAAACGTCACTGCCCTGAAAATAGTGTCAAATTTTTGTTAAAGTCGCTTTTCAAGTCTAGTGTTAGGTATCCAAAAAATTGGGAAAAGATTAACAATTTTCTTTCGCGCACCAATAGATGGCAACTAAGAAAAGAGGATGGGGCAAAACTGAAGAGAGAAGGAAACTAACTAGTAGAGGCATTTTGTAGCATCACTAGTTTTATTTGTTAATTAATGTTTTAAGAAATGAAAATCCTGCAACAGATTTACTGTAAACAAGGGGAATTTACAGATTGATTTATTCCCTTATCACCTAATTTCACAGTATCTAATTTCGGAGGTATCCATAATTTCATTATAATGGTACTTTATTGTTTATGTTTAATACTTACACGACTTCTGGGAGTCACAGAGTACTTTCCAGCACTATTCAGAACACCAACTGAAGGCAAATGCAATTCCCCAGCACTGTTTGATGCAGGAGGGCAAACGCTGTTGACAGATGGCTGAATAGGAGACAGAACTGCAATGGAACTAGGAACAGTTCCAGAGGGATAGCGCTCATTCAGCACCTCTTGCATCTTTCGCAACTTTTCATCTCTGATGTACATTTCAGACTAAAAAGACAACATTACATTAATGACAGATATAAATATGGCTGACATTAGTAGCTGAATTTCTTAACCACTCTTCACGAAGTCACAGAGGTTAAGTAATTCTAACACACTGCAGGTTCCTGGATGGGTGGCTGACTGGGAACCCAAGGGTTCCCAGGCCCACGCTGAAGTAATTAAAAGGCAAAAACGGACCACTACATGGATAAAGGTAGCACTACAAAGTGTTATCTATTTTCTAAAAAACTTCTGTATATACTCAAATAATCCCCGTCCTCTAATAACATTCACATCCTAATTTTGTCGAAAGAAGTACTGATCCTCAACCCCCCTTAATGAAAAAATAGCTCCTTTAATTTATTACTTTGTTAATAATGAAACAATCCTGCAACTGCATTTAAAGAAAAATAAGTTTGTTTTTCTGGCTGATAACCATTAGTTTCTTCAAGTAGCGTTTTGCTCTTATGCCAATGACGAGTGCAACTTTCATCTACATCTTCCTTCTGTGCTATTACCAAATTGATCTGTTTCTTCTATCACATTTAATTTTTCTTTTGCAGTGAAAGATCAAGCTTCAAGTTCACAGTATTATCTGCGCACGTTTTCTCAAGCCCTCATTTCGCTAGATGTGAGAGGAGGAGGAGGAGGAGGAGGATGAGAGGTATTTTGATGACAGGACTTTCTGTAGTTTGTTTTCCGATGCAAAATAATTTCTATTACAGAGAAGTGAACATTTTTCATTACCAGATTAAATAACAATTTGTACCAGACATGAGACCAAAGCTCATTATTGTTCATTTTTAATGCACCTAATATTAGTAAAGAAGTGGGGGTAGATATTCCGAAGATCAAGAAAACGTGTGCATATACTAGTATCTAGCTCGATGCAAATAATCCCTACACCCCAATCCCAATTTTCAGCTAACGATTTTGTGAAAAACATACGCAGGGTCATTTGAGTATGTACAGTATACCTTCACACCAGTCTTACAATTAGGAACCCACAATGAGTAATGAAATTTTACTGAGAAATGTAGATCACAAGAGCTAATCAAATAATCCATCTTTATGAACAAGACATGTCTCCAAGACCAAACAAAAAATAGGTCAATTTAATTGAATTCAATTTCTCAAAAGGGGATTTTTGGACCATTAAAAGAGAAAATTAGTAAAGATAATTTAAAATGAAGGAATAGATAGAAATGATCCAAGAAAGTAGAAATAATATATTCAAATGTTAACCAGACATTTCAGAAATTTATGGAGATAAGAAAAGTGGCACAGATTTACTAGAAATGTAAACACATCTTGCAATTACAATGTTAATGTAACCTGGCTGTATAAAACCATTGATGATGGAGAAAGAAATAAAATACTATTTCTACATTAAGGATGATTATGCCTGTCTATTCCTTCGTAATGAAATTCCTTAAGATTTCTGACCAAACCATTGAAATGATAATTAAAAATAATTGGATGAAGAAATAAAATGATCAATAATTCAAACCTGTTATCATTACTACAGTAAAAGTTAAGGATTCCTTTCTGTGCTGACAAATATAATGTTCATAAAAGAAATTAACCAGTAAATCCATAAAATTAGCTCCAACAAAGATATGCCTTTGTAGCAATGTCTGAAGGTTTCAAATCAACTGGTATATGGCATGCGTGTGAAATATATTCCAAATTAGAATATGAAGGCATTAAGTGAAATGCATTTGTATTTCATTCATATGTAGTCATGAACCAGAAACTTCATGTTGTGCAGCAAGAGATTTATTCCACAAGCAAAAGTCATGCTTTTGTCCACTTTCATTCCCAAGGAAATAATCATGCACTTTAGATGTCATAATAGCATAAGCTGTTTTGCAACAACCCTTCGGCAAAATGACATGACATTACAAATAACAAAATGTGACAATGATTAATTCCAGTACATATCTACATTATCCGAGACATTCAAAACTTTAAATTTAAATAATTGTTATACCACTTGAGAAAAATTGCACTTAGAATTTTTATTCCTGCCATTGACTGGGCAACATACATTAGTAATGTTGCAAGAAGAAATAAAAATGAGCACACCTTGATATATCAAGAAAGCATCAACATAACTACAATTCTGCAAACAAATACTAACTTTATAAAGAATTCTTTATTAAATCCCACCACCAATCACAAATAATAAAAAAGACTACTAATACAAAAAAATATTAACCAATGACAAAATAATGTCCAATACATCATTCATACCTTGAGTTGTTCTTCCTTCTCTTTTAACTTTACGTGGCACTCCCTGGTTAACTTCTCTTTCTCCTCTGCTATAGTGTTTGAACATTTCAGTTTCAATTTTTGTTTATCATATTTATTTTGATTCAGTTCCAACCGCAATTGTCTCACCTATTTAGGAATCAATAGAATTAGTAAATATAACAGGACTCAAAGCATTGAGTTTTCAGTAGAAATAATCACCGCAAATTGAACACTATTAATCTCTGAAACTAAAATTAAGACCTAACATAATTCTCAATATTCACGTGGTTTTAATCTATTATTTAAATCCTAGATTTTTAAGTTTCAACCTACACTCAAACACACAAAACATCGCAATTTATTATTATTTGCCCGAAGAAATAACACTAGCAATTTCTACAGAATATATATATAAAAAAGAATTGTCCAGGCTGAAAGAAAAGTCAAGAACTGGAAAATAAAACAAATGATATAGGAGAGGAATATGTTCCTTCAGTCAGAAGTTAAACAAGAGCTGCTTTGGCAATCACCAACAGGAAGTTTGATTGCAACTCTTACATTGTGATGCAGAGTGGAGTTTTCAACATTCAATTGAATTTTAATGGAACCCACAATAAAATTCATTTCTGAAAAACATCTGTAAGACATAGGTGAGACACAAAGTCTTTGGGAAATGAATTCTAGTATTTCACACATTATAAAGAGTCTCATCATAGTTGCATAAAATGGTAAGAAATATTTCTGTGGTACAAAGGCAAAACTTGATGAATCAAAAATTTTTGATTTCCAGCAGACTTTTTGGAGTCCGTGGTTTCACAGAACTGAAGATTTTAATTTACAATAATGTGGCAAATACATTACAGCAATTCACGTTCGCTTCCTGACTGAAAGATTGTACTGCGCAATGTCACTGGATTACGAAAATAACAATAATCAAATCACAAAAAACCAACATTTAGACAGTTGCTTTTGTTCTAATAAAAAATAAATAAATAAATTTTAAAAAATCCTATTTTGCACAGGAGAACATAATTTAATTTCCTTCTTCATAAACTTCATTTGCTTCCCATTTAACCAATGATAAGCAATTTACAATTTATATAAAAAAATTGTTTATGTCTTGATATTTTAATTTTTAAGAAACAGATTTTATAAAATCAATGTTTTTGGAAACCTTATTTAAACAATAAAAATAAATGGTGATCTTATTTCGCATAAAATAACAAAAATGTTTGCGACGTTCATTCTTCAAAGATCTAATTTCAGAATCAGTTAGTTCTTTCATATTTTACACCACTAATTCCCTTTTGCCACGTCGTAAGCATGCAATCAGTTAGACATACATTACAGCACATTTTGTTTCCTCACCACACAAAAGACAAAGTTCACACAATAAATTTGGGCAATAACATTATTAAATCCTACAGTAATTTCCAATTTCTCTCCTAGTAGCTTACGTATTTAGTGTTGTACGTAAAGTTTTGAGATGCATCTCTCATTTTAACTGCACGGTTTGCCTTTAGCTTTACGACAAATTCTTTGGCATATTTTGGCATTGCTGAGTAAAACTAAGCCTTAAACATGACAGTGAAAAGATGCCCTATATGGCAAGAGGAAATATTCCTTCCATTAGCCTATTTTGCAGAAACATATTTGATTCACCAGCATCATATACAACACATTTCAACACCCTCCAAATATCCTATTTACTTTGATGCATATACCACATGCACATGCACTAAATGGTAACTTTTATTTTAACCAATATTATGAATCTATGATTGTTGACACTTTTCAGGAAGGGAGAAACAATAGAAAATAGTTTTTTTAAACAGTTATGTAGGTCATCAACAGTATAATCATTTGCTGAAGGCGGAGTATACTTTTCCTTGATTAATTGAAATACAAATTGACTGTGTCTGAGAATTTGTTAATTTTCCACCCAAAGCAGATGAAAACCAATTCAAGCAGCGATGCATTAAATTCCAGATCTTCTAGAAATTACTTTTTAATTGTCATCAGAGAGGACCATTCACTCGCCTTCCTTTCACTTTGATAGATATGAGCTTTTCCTATCAAAATCAAGTCATTCGATCATTCACTAAAATTACCTTTTTTTATTTTTAGACAATTAAAGGCTCTATTATAACATAATGAAGAGAACAGCTTATTCCCACCTTAAATGTGGCAAGAAAAATTTATTTATATCAAACCTCGTCTGCACTTGATAACATTGTTGATCCTTGTAAAAAACGTGTCTTCCCATACCAAAACAAAGAGACATTGGGAGAATATAAATGAAACATTTAAAATTTTGACTGGGAAATACATCCTAAATTTTAACGAATATTGATTGTAGTGAGGAAAACAACAGAAACTTTGAAAGAAGACAATGAAGAGCTTAGATATGCTTGTCAATGGTTGGAACTGTCTCCCAATGAAGAAACCAATGTGCAATTATTTGCAAAAGGCAAACCAATGAAACAAATTACTATCTGACATAATTACTGAGAATTCGAATGTATATTTGTATGATTTAATTTACTCGCAAATAATTTTAATTTTAACACAATATGCACATCTGCTTTAGCTGCAGTCAATCAACAATAAATAAGTACACCATTGTTGCAAATGCAACAAGTTGGTTTTGACTGCAAATGCCTCTTATTAATTCTCTTTCTTAAAGGCAAGATTTCCCACAATCCCACACGGTCGCGAATTCCATGTATTTGTTTCATCCACTTTCTGCTCTCACAAGAGACAATAGCTGCATGTTTAAAGGATGTGTGTCTGCTTTAGGTTCATATAATTTCTACAATTCAGAGTTGAATGTCAAGCGTGAATTTTGTCCTGTGTGCGCATGGCATTCCCTGCCAAGGAATTTTCATCAATATGGGAGCATCAACACACTCTCTGATCCAAGCTAAAGATTTTTACACAGTAGTTTTTGTGCAGATTCTCAAACAGAAACATGTTCCCAAACTAGAATATTTAAGCTGAACTTTTGACTATCACCATCTACCAAGTGAAACTTTACAAGAAAATGGACCAGCAACAAGTAGTGTATTAAACTTAAAAAGTCATATCATGTACTTCTGAGGACTGTTATGTGCAATGTTTTTAAAGAATGGCTAAGAAAAAAGGCTTCTCAACAACTTCATCAACTTTTGTAGTATGTACAGTTATTCCCTTTTCTTCAGCATAACAGCACTATACTTTTGGTCTCACAACTAAACTACCCCCCTCCCCTAACAAAAGCTGTTTCGAAACTTAGTATCATGACAACATTATATGCCAAATGTGTTAGGAAAGCACTGTTTGTTTTGGAATCACTGTTTCTGTCCGAGTCCTTGAAAAGTGGCTTACTATTATTTATGAGGGATTTAGTTTTACTGTCACTACAACGTTTTTAGAATTAACACAAATTGTGACAAAATACATTATTTGTATATTAATATAAATTCATTTATAAAGACTCTCAAAGCTAAACTAAGCACTTCTAAGGTATTCACATGCCCCATAATCATTGAACGAGTCCAGACTATTCAACATATTTAATACTAAATACACCATTTTGGTTTTTAATAAAAAAAAATAATCCATGTTAAGTAATCTCTCTTGAAATGGAAGTTTCAAACACAGGGGTGAAGGTGAGATAGGGAAACTGGCAACACACTGACAGGCCACTTGGAGCGCTAGATGAAAGAATATCAAGCAATGATTGGTTAGTGGTTTTCACTTGTTTTTTGTACATCGCATCCAGCCTGCATGTGATTTCCACATGGCGGAAGAGTGAATCATATTGCCGTTGGTTAAGTTCACGAGTTCCTTAAGTGTTCTGTGCATTCAAGAGTGTGTTTCGCATTTCAAGATATTTTGATTTAGCGGACACAATCGCAACAGTTTCGAATTTTCTCCATTTTGATTTGCTGGTCTTAGTGGAATACAAGTAGGTTTTGCAATAGAGGTGATCATTTAATTTTAAGTGTCATTCACGATTATTTGTAAGAAAATTTCAGCCTACTGTATTCACATAACACTATAAGGAAAACATGTATTTTTTTGTTATGTAATGTAATGTAATGTAATGATTGATGATTTGGTATTTAATTTAATGTTTTTAAAGAATCTTCTAGAAAACTAATGGGCATTTAAATAATTTGGAGAGGTTTTGCTCTAATTCCAAATCACCTGATGATACATTGTTTTGTTAAGAGCATTTATCTGAAGAACTTATTTAAAAAAAAGTGTGCACATTTTTTAATATGCAAATATGCAATGGATGAAAAACAGAAAATACAAACTAAAAGAAAATATACAAAAGGCCATGAAAAGGTAAAAAAATTAAAAATGTTGTAATCTGTATTGAATATTTTTTAATATAAATTGTACAATAAAGACAACGATTTATTTATTTATATATTTCTTTGTTTACTCATTTGATTCCTTCATTTCTGCCCATTACCATATTATTAGATGACTCTCCTCAGTTATGACCTTACCCATGTGCATTACGAAAATAGATAATTATTATATTTTTAAAAAATTGCAGTGGAATTTCGCCTATTAATATCTACTTTCACGAACATGATTGAGTGAAATTAATTTTCATATGAATTAGCATTCATATGCATTTTCATAGGTGGGCAGTTTCTGTAGTTATTTGCCATGCCACTTGGAGTGCTGCGAGCGACTTCTGTTTCCGACATTTAACATTGAGGGTGAACTTCTATCTTTCATTGTTCTGTGGTTTCAAAGGTACTTTTGTTGCATCCTAGCTACATAAATACATTTTCACACCAGTTGGAGGAATTACAAAAATATTAGCATTCATCATAGAATCTTCTCGCTTCGCAAGTCAGACATTTATCAACAATTTCCAAAGCACTCCTGGTATTACCTATGATAAACCATTTCCACAATTTCCCTGTATATTTTCTATGCTTTGATTTCTTTGTTTCGTCAAATACCAGTCCTTCTGACTAACAACTTAATGAAAGATTTGGAAAAATCCTAGCACAGCCTTTGACCTCACATGCACACGGATTAAGCAGCAATCACATAACAAGTAGTTTTTGCAGAGACAAGCAATAAATAAAAATTAATATATATACACACCTCTTGAGACAATGTTTTGATGTTGTTTTCGCGATCACCAACATCTCTCTGCAGTTCGCTAATAAAATTTTGTAGTTCAATCACCTTATTCTCAAGCACAGCAGACTGGAAAAGGGAAAAAACAACAACAACAACAACTCACAATTACAACATGTTTTGACAAAATTTTCTGATTTCAAAAGAAGGAAACATACTTCAGGAATCAAAAACCATTGCTTTAAACATCAAACAAATTCCTAGAAATATGGCAAGAACCACTTAAATACACTGCTTGGTACCAAATATTAAGCTTATAATCCATCGGTCATTTTCATGTCAGCCAATTCAACATAACATAAAATAATCTTATATATAATATTTTAGGTTTGTGTTATTTGCCCAACTGTATTCTCATTTCTACTTTGTATCGGAGTATTGTAGAAGTATTGGAGAAGTTTTTCTTCTTCTTAGAAACTTTACTTTTGATTCTTATTTCGATTACATCAGTTAATTCAAAGTTGAATCTCCTGAGTAGGTAATGATGGTTCTAAACAATGTTCATTTGTATATGCCTTAATTTTCAAAAATTTATTCATTTTGAACCAATTTCCATTAATGGGAAGTTGCATTTTTTTAGTTCGATGGCTAGCCGCACCCATAAATTTAGGAAATCCAAAAGAATCTAAAATGTGGGAATATTTAAAACGAGGCATTTGATTTTGTATACGGTTTTGCAGTGCTCTTAGAGGGGGTATCCTGACCCGAGAGGCTCCCCAGTGCAGAGTGAACAACTGCCCGGAGCGAAGCGCCACTTAAAAAATCACAGAGTGGAGTAACTGAGACAGTGTAGACCGAAATTTGATTTGGAAAGCCAACAAGCCTGAAAACATTCATCGTTGGAGACATGACGAGTGTAGAAGTCTCAGATGGGTTTATTAATAAACTACCTTTAGTTTATGCGAGCAGCAATTATTATTCATATCAGGCAGAGACGTCAAATGCGTGTACCGAATATTCTTTAAAATGCCCCTAAAGTGATTTTATATACTTCATAACATATTAACTGAAAGCTAGACATTGAATATTTTTGTTTCAACAAAAATGATAATTATTATTATTATGAGGTTTGTTTTATTAATTTGGTAGTAGCATCAAGCGTTGTAAACTTTAAGAGAAAAATTATAATAAATATTTCCACTTGTTTTAAAATCTATTAACTTTTTCTTCCATGCCTCGCTAAAAAAATGTTATTAAGAACCCACAGCCTCCCAAGCCTGTTCCTGTCTCCTCAGTTCAACCAACCTCTACTCTTTGCTAACAAGAGGCGCAACCTGGGCTGAAGGTTTCAGTTCCCTATGGAGAGGTCAGGTGAAGATGCGTCTGTGTCAGTGAAAACAGTGAAGAACACTAGTTGTTTTATTGATAATTATTATGTAATATTACAAAATTCCAAACAAAATGAAGCGCTGAAGTTAAAAAAACAACAATAATAAAAATAACAAATCTTCATGTTTTTGAAATTTTGAAAGTTTCAGTGAAAATGGAAATTCTGTCAATGAATTGAGCATATTTTGCTCTATTCATACAAAAAGTTTAAAGGAAAAACAAAAACAATATTTATTTAGGTCAATACTGAAAGTCCAGAGCTGCAGATAACAATTGCATGTTTTACTAACTCAGCTAACAAGGCAACCTATGTGTGTTATAGTTCCTTGCGTTATGACTTCACAATTGCACTGTGATACTACCAATTTCAACTAGAAATTTTGAAAAAACTGTTTTCAAAGAAGTGTATATAAAATCGTGGCTCAGTGGCAAAGTCGGAGTTCCATGTTCGATTCCCAAAGAATCCCTGTAGAACCTCATGTGAAATTTGTTACAACAAAACGAGTTTGCCTGCTTCACAGGGCCTAGTCTAACCCGTCCTTACCCCTATCCCTATTCCTTCCCAATTCTGGCCGATGGGTAGATGACACAGGGCACATGAAAGAAACGTGCGCGAAGACGCTACCTATTGGCGATTCCCCGACTTGACTATCCAGCGGCCCCTAGAGGACACTTACAAACTGAGGATTACTTCAATACGCTCAACATTCCTTAAGGAGTTTAGGAGACGCTTTGCATCTATATAGACGTTAAAAAAAATAAATAAATAAATAAATAAATAAAAAAACAACAACAACAACAACAACAACAACGGGAGATCTAATATTAATGAATTCATACTATTCATGAAGAATCTCTCTAGCTTCAATTTGGAGGGGGAGGTGTTGACTCATTTGGGAGAAAAAAATCCAGTACATTTTTACTTATTTTTTATATCTTCAAATTTTTCGTCTCTTGAGCCTTTGGTGGTTTTTATGAGCATTTAAATCCCATACGTTTCATGGGACGTGACCCACTTTCACCAAATCTCCTTTCACAGAGCAATAACAAAGTCTCAAAAATGTGCAATCAAGGCATAAATGTAATCAGTCAATAGTTCTCACTCACAAAAATACTCCCATAATCTTACATTTCCAATGTAGCACAGTCAAACTAGACTAAGTAAATGGTGCCTGAATTTTAAAAATTTCAGTGTTTTGAAATTTGGAATGATTGATCATTTGTACATACCACAAATTGTGTTAAAAATCCTAGAGGAGGAAGAGGGAGCGGAGTTTAAGGTTGTTTTTTTTGTTGTTTTTTTTTTTTAAAAGGTTTTGCATACATCACCCTAACTATCAATCTTACAGAAAATTACACTCTATATGAAATTAAAGTAGACAAAATTGTTTACAAAAATATTTTCATAGGGTCTTGTTGAAAATTACAATTTTCAAAGTTGTAGGCTTCATAAGTTCCCATTTTATTTCCAAGTCCCTATTTTAGTTAACTAAGTTACAAATGAGCAAACAAAACCAGTTGTGTTTCTCTTGGAAATCTTGTGAATTTTCTCAACCATGCTATATAAGGTTCACTCTTATTAGCACATTGCTTCAACAGTTCTATCTATATAAATGACAGGCGGAGACCAGCACAGAAACAGACAATAACCATTTCGGATTAAATACTTACTCTCTTCTTTTCATTTTCCAAAGCAGCTTTCAGAGAAGAATTTTCCACTCTTGACAGGATCTGTTCATTTTGAATTTCAACTAACCTAGCCCGAAAATGCTCTTCTGCGAAAGGAAAAACAGAGTTTAATAGTATAATCATACAAATTGGTTCTGGGACATATAAAGAATGCAATTAAATAAAACTGCTAGTTCTCAAAGCAGCACTAATAATTTAACATTATTATCTTGTTTACAGGTTTTGATTTAAAGTGACCGACCTGGAGGGATTCATGTATTCACGCATTTCCTTCAGATATGCATGCTTAAAAATGCGCATGAATTGAAAGGCAAAGGTCACACAAGTGTTACATTGAAGCACATCCAATAATAGGGATTTTCATTTCCAATCATCTTAGCACGAAATGGGCTTGCAGTGTCCAGTAGACTTTATACTCTTCAGAAGGTTCTATAAATTCTGAGAAAGTCTTGAATTGCTGTTTTCCCTTAATTGTTGGGTTACATCATTCTTAATTATTATTATTATTATTATTATTATTATTATTATTATTTTGATGATACACAAAACGCCATGACCTTAAGAGTGTATTCTGGTGGGCATTTATTTTATTTTGGGGTTGAATCTGTTTATACTTGTATGTGCAGGTCTTCTGTAAAAATGATAATCTTTGGAAAGAAGTAGGGAAACACCATGGTGAACAGAACCACCGACAAATTGTAAACATGTTTAAGGAATGGATTCATATCTGTACATATTTTGATATTCTTTGTATGATAATATTGACCACCAGCTGAATATTGATTAGTTAATTCCAAAACTAATAAATATGACATTTATGCAATTTTGTGGATGGAACAATTTCCTTTACTAATACCTCCAACCCCATTGGAATATTTTGGAGATTTAATGAAACTTCTTTGTTCTAGAATTTAGAATGAAATATTTAACATCAAATCTATTATTTAAATTAAATATTAAGTTTTTGTGAAGTGCAACTGTTGGGTTTTGAGTGAAGTAGTCAAGAATCTACAACCGAAAATTCTCAGGTTCTCATATTCCTTTATCTCCATATTATTATTAACTTGATTCGCCACATTGCACCACTTGAGTCGTTCCACTTCACTTTGTTCATGGTCGACTGTTGAAGGTATCACCTTGAGGTGAGGATAAATCCTCAAGTTACAATTCTGAATGTTATTCAGAAAGGTGATAATGAGAGATGGAGGATGATGGATGATAGGGGGTGAAAGGACAAACACAATACAACCATGCCCGAGGCGGGACTCGAACCCGCGATCTTTCGGTACGAGATCGCTACGGCACTACTGCCTTAGCGATCTCGGCCACCGGATCGGCTTATCTCTGTATACTACATAAACTGGGACTCCAAAGCTCCTTTTGAATAAAGGTGTGTGGCCATTGCTTGGATCAAAACATCAATTTGTCCTTTACTAGTGGAAGTATTTATTAGTTGCATCTATTAGATGGCTCCTCTGCCTATGTGCACAAGATGCCACTTGCCAGGGAAACCCAACCAATCTATCAGAAAGCATTTGCCCACAACATTCAAAAACAGCTGTCAGAATGTACAAATGACGAGTAAATGTATATGAAATACAATGTTGTCAAATGTCACTCTTCTTCTAAAATCAGTAGAATCGAATAAATATGTAGACCATAAAATACATCATATTTTATTTTCTGTTTTTGAGCAAGAGGACTAATTCTTTAAAGCTCTGAACTTTATACTGAAGGTCAATTCATTGAAACCAGAAAATAGATTTACATTATTTATATATATTTTTTAATTCTTTTCTTTCTTTCTTTCTTTCTTTCTTACAGAAGGGTCATTCAAGTTTAAACAATAAAAGACTAGCACCACAGGCAACTTTATATTACCATTTTCCACAAAATTTAGATAAAATTAATTATACTCTGAATTGCCTTGACACTATTTTATCATTCCAGTAAACATCTATCCAGTAAACATGCCAGGAGCAGTTTAAGCACTCGTGCCTCAATTTAATTGGAAGGTGTGGGGCAAAAGTAAACACTTTTCTTTAGTATTTGTGTGGATTGTTACTAGTAAAGGAGAAGTGAATCTGAATCATCATTACAGAGCAAAGTCAATTTCTCTATTCATTTGACAACGTAATTTCTACACAATTCATTTCCTCTTGGGACTTCCCTAAGCATAACCCATGGATTTCGCCCAGTAACTTGCCTATGCATTTCCACCATGGATGCAAGATGTGCTGGCCAGCCATTCTACCCAATAGCACTGTTTGACACGAACTAAAAACCCACAGAAATAAGGGGATGAACCAGGCATGATATGCCTGACCAAACTGGAAGGCAGTCATCCAAATTACATATTGTATGATTCCTTATCTGAGTCGCATTGTTGTGTAAAGGCTGAACGTTAACATTTTTCCAGCACTGGCAACTTCAAACTCTCAGCAGGATGTTTTGAATGTCCATTTTGTTTTATGGTAATGGACAAAAATATCCTCATTTGCAGCAATACAGATGAAAGAAAATATACAGGAATAATAATTAATAGAAACGTCACAAATTTTAAACACTACGCATGAGACACTAAATTTTACGGTACACTGCTGAATGAGCATATTCCATTTTGACTGCTACTGAGCATTCTAGGTCAAGAATATGGCGCAGATGTTTCTGACCTTAAAATGTTAGAAATATGCAAGCATTTATAAGCTAAAAAATATGACAAACATTTTTTGGTTGTATTTTCGAAACCTTCAAATTCTTTCCACTGTTTAAATAACCATTACACTGAAAACATACTATTAAAATCTAGTACATTCACAATTCCCTCTTTTCTTTTGGCACCCAGTGAAGGAAGTTCTAGCTGCTAAATTTATTTATAGACCTTGGCACAAAATCTAACAAAACCACTTCCTTTGCATCTGGGGCATCTGAAGTTTTCCTTTTCTCCTTCTATACAGTTTACTAATTTACAAACACATGTAGGAAATTAGATAACGATAAGGGGATGAGAAAAATCTCTTTGAGACAACTGCAAGCAAGTATGAAAAAAATGGAATGAAAAATATAAAACGATGATAAAACATGCAAAAAACTTGTGGTATAATGTGGTATTGTGGTATTTCATGACTAATAACAAAATTAACGGAAAATGACAAAGGGTTAAAAATGACTGTTCATGACACTTGAAAATTGCATAATTTCAGTTATTGCAGATAAAATCCTGCTCAAATAATTTTTTCTATTAAAATAATACCAAGAAGAAAAACAAGCAGTCATAAACATCTGGCCCTAGTCATGAAATAATCATAAAAACATTACTCCTTGTCAAAAATCTTTGTAAACTATATCTAGTTATTTTGTTCCATAACAAATAATGTTGAAGGAGTATGACCTCTTCTTTTGAATATTTGAAATAACAAAAGAAATCAGTAAAATGAAAACCATGTGGACTTAACAACAGCTGCTCCATTGCCTTAAAATATAATAATAATAAACTATAAAAAAAACACATTTTAAAGATTGCAAATATACATTTTCAATACAGTGATTTGTCCAAACAGAAATATCTGAATTAAGAAAAGAAAAAAAGGTTTCCTCACGTTTCTTGTGAAGCTGTTGAGTAAGTTCTACTCGGCGTTGCATCCTCATTTCCAAACAGGACAGAAGATCACGCACCAACTTCTCACAGTCTTCTGGAGACATCTCCAATGTTGGGAATGGGGGTCCTAAACTGTATTTAAAGCAGTTTCATTAGTTTCAGAACATGATGTCTACATTACTCAGACATTTTCTTTGCATAAGCACATCTATATTACATCATTTTTATAATATTTGCATTAATCTCATTTAAATACAGTAATCCCTCATTAATTCAAAATGACTGAAATAATCAGTGTTCTTGTTTTAAAAATTTTTGTTATTTTACTTTTATATACATCTTCATTGCTATGTTACTTTGGCATGACCCAAATTTTGTTTGTTTGTTTGAGGACTAAGTATTTAGCGAGTTTGTGCTAACAAGGGTTTACTGAAGTTTACTTTATTCTTAATTACTGCTTAATTCTTAATTAAAAAAACAACACACACACATCTGAAAATTGATATTTGTGTAGTTAGCCTGCATTAAATTTTGGAAGCGACACATACTTCAGAAAAATATGGTAAATTGTTGCTCAGAATATATTTAATATAAAAATTCCTGGTTTGTTTCGTTTAATACTTCATATGCATATTTTTATTCTTTGTAAATACATTTTTCAAAAAATAAATATTTCATTAAAAAAATTGTGGTTATTTTTTAAAAAATGAAAATTTCTTTATTAACTCCATCAGATACAAATTTGAAAAAATATAGGAATATTTCAATTTTCTATAAAATACTACAAGAAATAGTTTTACAATTCTAAGAAATCAATTGAAAATAGGAGGGTGCGTTCTCCCTGTCCATGCACTAACAAATTGTGTTCACTTAGTCTTTGATCCAAGTGCTGAAGAACTATAAAAAAGTATGACCATCTGCCTGATTAGGGTTTCAATAAATATTCACATGTTCAGCTTGTCCCCGGATTGGATGAAAATAAATTAAACTTTTCCTCGTGTCAGCGAAACAAACACAACAGACCAATTGTCAAGGGACAAGAAACAATTTTTCTGAACAAAACAGCAGAATAGTAATTTGGAACATTTCACCACTCTAGATCACCACCAAAAAACAGTTTTACTCAAATTTTCGTGAATAATATAAAAGTATCCAGCTCAAAATAGTGCCAATCAATTTGTCTATTCAAGAAGAATCAAATGAGCCACTGATCACAGTTTTTTTCCTTCCTTACTTCACTTCAAATGTTCTCAAAGTCTGACAGAAACGTTCAGTTCCCCACCAAGAGACCTCATTTGCCCAAAGAGTGGACTGGAAGAGGTGTAACTGAACATGAAGGACAGATGCCTAGACACACATTATCCAGTTACAATTTATAAATAACTAGCAGACTCAGCACTGTTTCGCTATTGCAGTGTAATGCAATTTAAGTTGCAACTTAGTTCATTCAAGGAAAATTAAGGATGTATTTACTGCACTTTAAAAATCAAATCAATCGAGTTCAGACTTCCTACTTTCTAGAAATTAATTTGGAAACAAGGTGGCCTGAGAACAGGATAGAGCCCACCTTATCTATTAACTTAGCAAAAACAACACCCCCATATCCGATTTAATTCAAACCACTCTTTAAATACTCCCAAAACTAATAAGAACAAAGTGCGAAAATTTCAGCAAAATGCGTTGAGTAATTTTGGCATCTGTTATGAAACATTCCCTTTTATTTATATAAAGAATGTGACTGACTGAACTCACCTGTACACAAGACCAATGTCATTTTCACGGGATCCATCCCCCATTCCCTTCGCAGCCAGCCTTTGGTTTGCTTCTTTCAGGATCTGGAATGAACATGCCAAAAACAAAGATTCTCCATACACAAAAAAACAATTAAGAAATGAAATCATGAGGAACAGATAAATCTTAAGTAACCCCCAAAATTAAAATGTGTATAATTAATAAATAAATTGCATAAATAATTGCACAAATAAGGGGGGACAGTCATGGAAATACCTGCAGGCACATATGATACTCTATTTCACAAACAAATGTGATTGTGGTTCTAAGGTTAAAAATAATACCATGGCCGCTGAAGAATTGGGACATCAAAACACTCAAGAGACACATGCTTCCTCACCCTCCCCCACACTACTTCTCAAGCACTTTGCAAAATCTGAGACTTCTCTATTACTCTGACTCTTTGTATATTTCTTACAATTAAAAATTAAACACCCATCATCCATAGCCATTATCACAAAAATTGATGAAGCAAAGGGAACATTAGAGCACCTTTTACAAATGAGTGTGTTCAGAGATACATTTGAGTTCTGTGACTTCCCATGTATACATTTTTATTTATTTATTTTATTTTTTTAACAATTCAGGGTAAGCTAAGGTTTTAAGCTCTTGCTGTGCTTGTGGATGTATTATCTCCAGCTCATAGGACTTTTCTAAATTTACAGCAAGAGACCAAACATAACTTTTGAATTTTATCATATCTAGAAAGGAGATGGAAGAAAATTTCTGACGCTGCCTTCTTCATTCTTGAACATTATTCCCAATGACCAAATTGTAGTAACACTGGTATCATTTATTCTTTTCGAGGTCAACCTTTCTGTTACACTGAAGAGTTTTCTGTCCAGTAAATTTTCCCTTTATCACCTGCACCCAATCATCTAAGCCTCCCTCCCTCCCTCCCACTCCCATTATTTCAATACCACATAAATTTCAAAGAATAAACATACTCCGAAGCCTTTGAAACACCAAAATATATTTTGTCTGTTAAACCAATGATGGGACATGCCCCCTCGATGGCTGCCCACCAGAAAGGAATTAACAATTTAAAGGTGTTTTGTTTCAAGCTTCAAATCTACATTTGGCAGGAACAATCCTGATACTGAGCAATATTTTCATGTAAAAATAAAAAACTTAATTTTTTTGGACATTCTCATGACCTCTGTCCCCGAAAAAGAAAAGTGATTATCTGACAACCACGACCCAACAAAAATCCTTGCCAATCATGGAAAAATAACTTTTCTTGTTAGGGAAAAGTAAATGTACTCTACAAATTTTGAGTTCTCAATATAATGTACAACATTGTAATGTAGTCAGCAGCATTTGAAAGTACAACCAATAATTTCTACTATCTTTTCAGTAATTTCGAAATAAATAAATTTCAATTTTACTCTACTACAACAATCAAATAACAGACTCGTTCATAAGATATGGTGGCAATTTTCAGAACACAAGTCATTTTATAAGATTACCTGATTAGCTTTTCTTCTGCCAGGCAGAAGATCGAAGACAGGCTTCTCCATGAGGGGTGGTTTTGTTGTAGTAACTTCCTGAGTCATCTCAGCAAATTTCATCACATGCTGTTCAGAGAAAGTAATTTCAAATACACATTCCAAAAAATGGATATAAACTAATGAGCTTTGATTTTTTGGAAAATTCACTTTAATAAACACAAAATGCCCAAAAGTCTGAATAATTCCAAGGAATGATGAAATAGGAGAATCCTGATGATGATAGAAACGTTAGTAATACTGATAAAGATAGTATTAATAGCGAGTGATAGTAATAGAAAAAGTGATGGTATTGTTGTTGATGATGATGATGATTAAAACGACGCTGCTAATAAAGGGAGTATCATAAATAATGATAGGCATGTGTGGAAAGTACCAAATATAACCAAGCCTTATACATTCGCCACATGGAACATAATAAGTTTATACAGGTGGAAAATACAAGTGATTACAGATGGAATGAATAGGGCAAAAACCAACATATTAGACCCAAGTGTAGTCAAATGGCAAGGAAACTGTTACTTTAAAATAGAAGACAAAATTATATTTTACTCAGAACAAGAGGAAAGTCGAAGAAATGGAGTGGCTCTTATTACTAATCAGAAAGTGGCTAAGGCAGTTCTTGAGTTTGAAGCAATCAGTGATAGGATAGTAAGGACGAGTTAAAACAAACCCAGTTAATGTAACTATCATCTACTTATATGCACCCACCTCTGACACCAGTGATTATGAACTAGAAATATTCCATGATCATGTACAGGAAGCTTACGACAAAACTCCAAGAAAATATTTTGTTCTCATTTTGGGCGATAGGAATGCAAAAAGTGGGGCAGGAGTAAACAAACTATATTACAGGGAAATTTTGTTTGGGAAGAAGTAACAACAGAGGAAGAGATTAATAGATTTCTGTGCATGCAACATCATGTTTATAGCAAACAATGTTCAAGAAGCAAGAGAAACATTTATACACATCCCCTGACGGGAGATATAAGAATAAAATTGACTATATCTAGGGAAAATGTAGCTGAAGATCTTCTATACAGGATGTCACCAAAACACCAGATGAGGACTGTGGAACAGATTATGAACTGTTGGTAGCAAAAATAAAGGGTAGACTGAAGGTAACAAAGAACGAAGGACCTAAAGTCAGGTATAATGTCCAAAACATTTCAAATACATATAAGGAAGCTATCTCAAGGAGAGTGATCAGAACCAGCGATGCACAAACAGCTTGAGAGTCTATTAAAGAAGTAATCCTTGAAGAGGCAATAAAGCACATTGTAAAGAGACAAAAACAAAACAAACCAAGCTGGTTATCTGAGGAAGCCATCAAAATGGCGGAGGAGAGAAGGAAAGCAAAGCAAGTGGCAGATTGGGAGAATGTGCGTGTGTTCAACAGAAGATTTCAATAAAAGCAAGGAAAGACAAGGCAAAATTCATAAACGGTAAGTGTAAGGAATCTGAAACGTGTAACAAAAAATCGAACCCAACAAGAACTGTTCCAGATTATAAGACATCATGAAAGAATTCAAACCAAGAGTAGGAGCAGTTAAAGACAGCAATGGCATTCTTGTAACTTCAAAGCAAGACATAACTAGAAGACTGCAGGAATATGCATAACAGCTTTACAAAAAGGATTCAAGAATTGACAAACAGTTCATTACCAGGAGTTATGAAGAAGAGCCAATGATACTAAAAGAAGTCGTATGGTACCTTAAATAAATACAGAATGGTAAATCTCCTGAACCAGATGACAAACCCATCAAAATGATAAAATGTGCAGGTGATGGAATCATAGGAAGGATATAAGATCTTTGAAGGATCTCTGATATGGAAAAAGAAAGAAAGGCCAGCGGATTGACAAGACGATTTTCATTCCCTTAGCAAAGAAAGGACACACTCGGGAATGTGCTAACAATAGAACGATAGCACTGTCTAAGTCCTGTAAGGAACATCATGTTGAAAATAATAAACAAAAGGCTAGAGCTTTTTATAGAAAGAGAACAGTCAATAGAACAAGCTGGTTTCAGAAAGGGCAAGGGAACTAGGGATCAGAGGACAAAGCTAATATGAATAATGTAAGAGAGCAGAGAATTCCAAGAAAAAACTATATTTTTACTTTTTGGACTATTCTAAAGCACTTGACTGTGTGAACCACAATTTGTTATGGGTTGCTTTAACAAACATGGGCATACCACGACACAATAATTTTACTAAGACAACTATACACAGAGCAAGGGAGTTAATTAAAAAAGGCAAAGAGTCATATCACAATCAAATAGTAAGTTATCGAATAGCGCCAATAATACATGGAAATACATTAATAAAAAATTGGGAAAAAATAAGATTGAGAAACAAGTGATAAATATAATCTATAATGAAGGTGAAAATGAAGTTCTCGAGACCGAGCTCGAAATCGCTAATCATCTCAACAAATTCTTTGCTGAAATTGGTTCAAAAATGACAGCAGGATGTGGAGAAATTAGCAATGATGTGGCAAACAAGCCTACGATTCGAGACTCGATTTTCCTTACACTGACCAATGAAGAAGAAATTCTGACAATAATAACAAGTATGAACAGTAACAAAAAGGCAGGTAGCAATAAAATATCAATTCAAATTATAAAAAGAATTTCCCCTTATGTAATTAAACCGCTCGTACATATTATCAATAAGAGTATTATGGATGGAATTTTTCCTGATCATTTAAAAAAGCAGAAATTGTACCCATTTTTAAATCTGGAAATCCAGAAAAAGCTACGAATTATAGACCCATATCAATGGTATCCAATTTTGCAAAAATTTTTGAGAAAGTTCTTAATATAAGAATAATAAATTTTGTAAATAAGCATAATATTATAAATAAATACCAATTTGGATTCCAGGAAAATAAGAGTACTGAAGATGCGTAAAAATATTTCACTGACCAAATCAGCCTTGCTATCGATAAAAACACTGTATTTGTCGGTGTTTTTGGATTTAGCAAAGGCTTTTCCTACGGTCAATCACAAAATTCTGTTGAAAAAGTTGTATAACTATGGATGTAGAGGAATTGCCAACAAATTAATTGAAAGTTCTCTTACTGGGAGAAAGCAGGTGGTAAAAATCAATAATATTATCAGTGACGAGTTAAAGGTAACTTGTGGAGTTCGTCAAGGAACCATTCTTGATCCTATATTTTTCATATTGTATATTAATGATTTTTTTAATATTCTACTAAAGGGGGAAATTGTGTCTTTCGCTGATGACACTACGCTAATTGTTAAAGCTAAAACTTGGTCTGAAGTAAAGGATTTAGCACAAACTAAATTGAGTCTAATTGCGAAATAGTTGAGCGTAAATTTCCTAACCTTAAATACACAAAAAACTGTTTTCATAACCTATGGTAGTTATGTTGACAGCATACCTTCAATATTGAGCTACAGTTACATACTAGTTCTTGTGATATTAATAGTGATATGTGTGATTGTCCATTTCTGACACGAGTTCAGCCAAATATCTTGGAATGTGTGTAGACTCAAATTTGAAGTGGAAATAATATATCACACAAGTCACAAATAAAGTCCGTTATTTAATTTATGTGTTTTATAAATTGAAGAGTATTTTTAGTGAAAAACAATTGTTAATAATGTATTATGCGTTATTTTGGAATATTGCGACTTGTGGAATTATAACACGGGGTGGTGCGTACTATAACGCAATTAAAATGCTACAAGATGTTCAAAAGAGAATATTTAAAATCGTTTATAGAAAAACCAAACTATATTCCTCTGAATTACTTTTTAAAACGTATAGACTTGTCTCTATAAGGAAATCTTTCTTAGAAAAATCTCTTTTGAATAATTTTGACTACCTTAAACAGAAATATATATCACTATGTTAAGATAATAAGAGAAACAAGTTATTAGTACCGCTGAAAATTGGGAAAGAAATCTGTCAACATAACCATAATTATATTAGTTATAGGATTTTTAATTTACTGAGTAGTGAGCTCAAAAATACCAGCTACGATAAACTGCATAAAAATTCAAAGAAATTGCTTAGAAACTTTATAATTGAGCTTAGCGATGAGACAGTTTCTTCAGTTTTTCATTGAGAATTGTGAAATTAAACTATATTGTGATAACTACTTTTTTATTTTCTGCATTTCGAATTTTCTTTTTCTTTTGTAATATATGCTTCGTTCATTTCTTGGTTTATTAATTATATTTTCTGATTATTATTATTATTATTATTATTATTATTATTATTATTATTATTATTTTGTATTCTTTTCTTTTATAAACGAGCTCTTAAAAAAAAGTGTTGCTCTGGTTAAAAAGATTGTTAACAGGCCCGCGCGCTGGATTAATTCCTCAGCAGAATAATAAAGTACATACTTGTATTATATTATTTGTATTTCACAGTCTGTTAATAAATAAATAAAATAAAAACAATCTCTCCCTCTCTTTTATACATTACTTAAATTGCCATTTGTACCCTTTACTGAAGGTAGAGAAGTTATGCTGATGAAATGTATTTTACAAAATTCTTTATTCAAATTTAGAAAATACCAATTATAAATATGTTTAAAACTCCATTTTCATTTACACCTATGAAAATTTGAAAATTCCACAAGTTAATTTTATTTTAGAACCCATCCTACATCTTTAATAATGAAAATCAAGATGTCTTACTCAATGCAATCTATTTTTCAATGTAAGATCTTTAAATCAAAACACTTTTTTTAAACACAAATAATTATCGCATAATTTTGTGTGAATTCTTGACAATTATCCACAAAAAGGATGTTAACAAGAGTTTCTGAAAAATAGCACTAACCTTTTTTAGAAACATAATCTACTGAATTCTATGCCACACATGCTATTTTAATTAAAACAAGTGAATTTTGAAAAGTTAATTATTTGTAATTGTTTTGAAAATGTTTGCATGTTAACATTTCCATTAAAGTAGCATTTTATACCTTCATCTCATTCATATTCATTTGAGGACACAAATGTCTGAAATAATCTCTCATGACTTTTCTTAAATATTTCGAGAATAAATATTCCTTTCTTCATAGGCATTGTCAGACATGCTTAGTTATATTAATGGTGTTCATAGCGACTTCCTAGTTTGAAACCCAGGGTCTGATTCCCACAATTTCCATGGCAAGTTTTGTTTCCCTCTGCACTGTGCTCTTGGAATGGCATATAAAAGCAATTTTCATTAACACTTCACACTCCTGTGTGTAGTGTGGGAATCTGCAAAATTATTTGTCTGCTCTGATGTCGAATCCCAATCGATGTTTAGTTTTAGTTTGCTTTTGAGCTCCAAACTTTTTCAAATTTCAACAGGATGAGCATAACTAAAGTACACAATCAGTAGAAGATACTTGTTCATTGTTGTACAATTTCAAATTTTAAGCCAATTTAGTAGGTCACTGTTATAATGGGATACTTCTGTATCTCCTTACAAGGATGAATAGCCCTGTAACCATTGAACTAAGTGGGAAACAAGTTTGATTTTTGGCTTCCTACACATCTTGTTGACAACAAAAGACAGTATGAAGAATGCAAAAATGCAAATATCTATAAAATAATGTAGATTATACACTGTTGAACAAATTGAAATGAGTAACAGACTATTAAAGGGTTAGAATTATAACTATGAAAACCAAGTATGTCTTCATTGCATCTGAAGCAAAAGGTCTCAACATTTGTAATCCAAAACTTAGAAATCTTTAATGCGTTGAGGCAGTACTTCAAGAGAAATTTAATAAAGAATTGATGGAAACAGAATCTCATGAATTAGGAGGGCAAAGGGTTAAAGTCTTGAAAGGGAAATTTTGGAATTTGAATCTCCCACACAGAGCTAGATTGCTAGATTGGGAATGACTACAGAAAAATATGTAGTATTAAATATCAATATATGTACATAAATATGTAATGAAAACAGAGAGAATATGAAATAAATATGTAAAATCTGATATTATATGTAATATTAAAATACACTAATTATAAAACACCTTTACCTGATAGGAAATTACATTTATCAAGAATTTCCTAAACAAATTTTAAAAATAATACAAACATTTCAAAAATCATTTTGAGAGCACAAGCTGATGAGCATATTGCACCAACTTCCCCGTCAGTAATAAATGCTTCAGCTATTGCTAACTAGAACAATAATTTAACAGCCAGACTAGAAGCAATAGACAAACTAGCTATATCTACGGCCAGCAAACAATCACTGCAGCGTGCAGCATGCTCATCGAAGTGTTACATGACAGTGATTGCAAGTTTCTCCAAAATTAAGGTTAAATATCACAAAATCCAGCACCAATGATGGTTTTAACATCTACAGATGAAAATGATTCCGTTGCGAACGTGCACTTCCCGCCACTTAGATAACTGAAGAAGGTGTGCTGGACCTTAAGAACATCCGGCTGCGTCTTAAAGTGCTACATCTCGATTCAACAGACCTCAGAGGGTAAAGTGGGAAAAAACTAATTTATTTAAAAATATACTTTTCTCAGAAATATAAGTATAACATAACAGAACATGTAACAAAAAAGAGAACATTGTGTTCCGATGACGACGATTCTCCAAAATTACAGATTTGAGAAAATTAAGTAGAAAGACAAGATATTTAATTACATAAAAATGTATCATCTAGTCATGACATTACCCAGAGCAAACACTGGCTTGTTACTACAGCGGCACCTAATTCACACACTTTCAAGTTCTATTTTTCAACATGGTCGTGGCTTTTAACCAAGAATCCACAATATATCTAAACCAATCCTCATGTACGAGTCGGGAAGTCTGGACAATGAAAAGCGATGAGCAACGAAGACGAGAGCAATGCAAATGACATTCCTACTTCATCTTGCTGGAGGGACACTAAAGGATAGACAAAGAAGTAAAGACATCAGAAACCGGCGAAGGTGAAAAATATAGTAGAAGAAATAAAGGATGGACAGAGAAATTGGTTCCAAAAGCAGTGTTCTAGATCAAACCAATGTCCAGTGTTCTGTGTTTGATTCGTTCTTTCACTGCCAGCCACTACAAGCGAGATTTGGCTGACATGTCACAGCTTTTTTATCACACAGCGCTGATTCTCCAGTAGAATCCAAGGGAGCCTAAAGGAAAAGGAAGGAATGTGGAAAGACCACAAAAGAAAAGTGTAGATCAGGAATACCTGGAGATATAAGCCAGGAAACAGGATTAGGCAACAGGTAAAGCAACCAGCAGTTTATGATGATGATGACGATGTGTTACCTTGGTTGACCTGGGCCCCTCGTTATCAAGGAGTGGGATCTTAATCTGAACTCCTTCAATGACCACAACAAAAGTATTTGGTATATAGTTACTACAAGCAAACAGTGAAGAGACATGACGGAATATTTTTAATTCTATATGTTAAGGAGTTGAAACTACTAAGGTTTCACAATATATACATTTTCCTACAGTTGCTTCTATCCAGAATTTGTTAACCACAAACAAACTTTCTCCCTATGTAGCAGAAAATTTTGGCTACCTTACTGGATGAAAGATTTTGGTAATCAGGGGTTGTAATCAAAAAATTAGAATATTGGAAACTACTGTATTTTTGGATAACATCTAATTAATTATTAGAACTTACAATTGTTTCATCATAATCATCTGATCGTGGGTTTACACAAACAATAACTCGGACTTGTCCTTCTCCTTCAAAAAAATTCTTGAAGAGGTGTGTAATTCTTGAATCACGATATGGAACCATTTTGTTTGAACCATACAACTGATTTTCTCGAAGTATCTCAAGGCAAGTCCTCAATGTCATTAAAGAATTGTTGATGTTTCCTTGAAAACAACACAAGACATCCATTAAATTTGCACTTCAAATGAAAATTGTAATAATATAGAAACTTACGTAATATCAAAGAATTCAAACTAAGAACCAGAAAAATACAAACGACTGATTATTAGCCACATATAAAATACCAGCACACTTCCAAAGCAGTAAGCATCCCTCATAACTTAATTGGAAGAGTTTTAATTTCTGTATTAATCTTTGACCCCTACTAAAAGATGTCAATGAAAAGTGACACCTCGAGCAAATGATTTCGTAAATCCAAGAACATCCCTGGTTCTGGCCATTTTTATGTAACCCACATAACAATACAAAAGTATGTAAAATTCATAATGAAAATTAAGTAATATATATGTATGTTTAATTAGTTCCAAGATCTTTTTAATAGAAGATTTAATATTTGTAAACATTTATGTCTTTGGAAGTGTGCGATTTCAATTAAGACAGTTGGATAATTGCACATTTTTCTTATTCTCATTCAAGCTATAATTTTCTCTCAATGTACACTACTTGAAAAATTCAGATCAGTGAATCAAATCCTTTTAGAAAATTTTAAATTCTACAAACCTTTAAAATGCAATGTAAAAAATACCATCACCCTTTAAAAGATCAATTTTACAAACCACTCACCGGCTTCCCTAAGGCGCTGTCCAGTGTTCTGTGTTCGATTCGTTCTTTCACTGCCAGCCAGGTCAACAAGTGAGAGTTGGCTAACAGTCACAGCTTTTTTATCACACAGCGCTGATTCTCCAGTAGAATCCAAGGGAGCCTAAAGGAAAACAACAAATGTATGCTTTTTTCCCACTCTTGTAGGTCGTATTTTATCAAATTATTTTTTAGTTTTGAGTAACTTAAAACAATATTTCCGTAAATTGTTTCAGTTATCTTTTTTGTCTTCCAAATACTTGAAGTCTAAATTAATATGGTCTGAACTCTGTTTCTGTCTGAACTGTTTTCACATTCATTCTGCTAAATTGAATCTGTCCAGCACAAATCCATCAGAAATGCTGTAACACGTTTAGGCATTCGCAACCCTTCCGTTAACCATGATTATCGTCTCATATCTTCCACCCTAAACATGCCTTCTATTTCGTCTCTTTGTAACTTTAATGATATCTTGTTTGTGTTTAAGTAAGTAAACAGTGGAATTAATTGCCCACTGTTACTCAAAGAATTGAATTTAGAGTCTTTGCAATTCGCTCTAGAAATAAAGATACTTTTTCCATGGTGACCTATATAAATACCTACATTTCAAATAACCCTATCACTAGAATGACTAGGATGGTCAACAAGTTAGAGTGCAACATTAGGAGTCCAGCAGTTTGCTTTTGATACAAATCTATAATTTTATTCCTACCTTAATGAAATTTTGCACACATGACTTACAAAACAAGAGAAGAGTTTACTGTCTGGAGAAGAATACACATAAAATTGCTCCTATTGTCCTTTCCTAACACACCTAGAATAAATGTTTAAGTGTGTACCTTTCCTGTTTCTCACAAATATACCAAAACAGTGAGTAAATTCACCAAAGTGAATTCAAGGTTTCTGAAAAACCATAAAATTTTCTACTACATTCATTTTGATTCATTCCAGTAGCACAATCTGGCACAAAGCAATTGAATGCCTAAATTGAAACTGGAAGATCATTGGGAGCAATGATGGCAAGAAGACTTGGCAAGGCATAGTGGGGCTGGATTAGGGGGCAGAGTGTGTAACTGTACAAGGCAACGTGGGAATGGATTCAATGAATGATTAGTGAGTCTGAACAGGTCAACTGCTAGAGTTGTTATTCCCATAAGTGTAGGGCATGTTTCATTGAGGGAGGTGATGTTGGTGGCCTTCCCCTGCTGGATGTTGAGATTTGGCGCTAACCTACGCGTCAGCTAGTGTTAAGTTTATCCCACCAGTGGGGCACTGCCCCAGCAGGCACAAGCTACGAGCTCCTGGCATGTGTGGTAATGTATTGCATGTTAGTGTAAGTGGATAGGACAAGGAAAAGAAAGGAAAGATCGCGCACAGTCCGTGGTTTGTTAGAGTACTGCTCCGGCATTTGCCTGGTGTTGATTGGAAAAAAACACAGCAAACTACCAATCAGAGCAGCGACTGGATTCCACCTAGTTAGTAGCTAGAGTCAAAAATCCTGCCTACATTAGGACTCTAACCATAGTACCTCCCAATCAAAGGCACTGCAGTGAAATCTGAGACACCGAAGACAGTATGAGAATGGAGGGATAGGGTATATATACCACACATAGAATCCATTCCTCTTTAGTGATAGGACATGGATAATAAAACAACAGCATTACAAATATAGCAACTAAAATCCCTCAATGTTTTAAAGCAAGTTTAGGAACCTCTTAACTTTAAATTTGTGTGCATCAAAATTTAATTTGACAGCAGTCTAGTTTACTAATTTACAATTAAGATATAAATGAAAACAAAGTTTAAAATCACCCCTACATGTGTAAAATACTGGAAAGATGTAGAAAATACTTGGGGGTTGTGGTCATCTCTGTGGAGAGATGTCTTCTTGATGATGTAATCCAAACAGTATTCATTTGGATCAAACAAACTGACAGAAGTCCTATCAGTTATTTCTTATTTTAACATTTACAAAGTTGTGATTATGAGCATTTTTCCATTCTCAAAAACAAAGAGCACAAAACACTGATGTTAAAAAAACATTGCCTTTAAAATATTGTCATTTAAAACATTGAAATTTCTATGAATTTACAGATGTTTTGAAAACCAACTGATGTTGCATCCCTATTCTCTTTCCGTCTAATAGATGATATGATTTATAGGTACCAAGGCAACACAGATTCATTCAGCCAATTAAATATAAATTAATTACATTTTCATGCAACAACTGTGTTTCACAGACAAATGAGCCAACTAGGTCCTCAAATTCATACCTCCTTACATTCTATAAAATTCACCAGTACTTTAGCTAAAATGTTGAAAAAATAATTTGCATTAACAAAGAAAATTCAAAACTTAATACCTGCACTAAACGAATGGTGAATACCATGTGGCTGCGACTCGATTCCGAATTCAAATTCGTATGAGCCATTTTTTTCCTTTTCTGCCCTTTGTAGAAGGCCTCAAAAGCTTCTTGTGGAGAAGTCACTTCCAATTCAGTGACTGCATGGACATACATGTTGCTTTTTGAATCCGAGCGAATTAGTCTGTTTTGCAAACCTTTGCCCACTCTCTCATCAGGTATGTTTTCAAGCAAATCATAAACACAATTATTGTAGATTTCAATGTAAGTTACAAACACTGCGTAAGTGGTGTCATCATCAACTCCTGAAACTTTTGCAGAGTCTACAACTCTCTTTATCTCTGCACTGGCATCTCTCCTGGAAGAGAACAGCTATCTTAACAAAAGCTCAAGTAATGCAGTAACCCATTCTTTACCAACTAGAATCTGTGAACTTGAAATTTACTTAAAAATTACTCATCTTGTACATGTGTATGTGATAATACAAGCCCCTTTAATTCTCTATCAATACACCAAATTAAAAGAAAGAAAAATATATAATTTTTCTGACTTTCCAAGAAAGGAAATTTAAGAAAGAAATCATAAACAATTGCCCAGCTATTATTAAATAATATCCCTGAATGGACCCAATTTCTAAAAAGACTTTTTCTCCTTATATGAATCAATCACCTAAATCAATTTCTTTTAATCATAGGTTAAAATCAAAATGTTTTGTAGTCTTATTATAAAAAGTTTTTGAAATTCAATTCTTTTTAACTACCAGCAATCATTTTAATAAATATAATGAACACTGTATTTTCTCACAATGCTTATTTAACATCTGAAAAGCAAAGTAACTAGTAAGAATATTTTTAAATAATTTTTTCAAGCTTCTATGCCATGGTGGGTTGGTGATGTTTTAAATGCAGCGTTTAAATACTGATTAACAAATCATCTGTGACAAAAACTACCATAAGATGTAGTGGATATATCCAGTCTGAAGTTCAATATAACTCAAAACCAACTAACTGAAAAATTTTGACTTAATGTGTTGCCATTTGTAATGAGATGATTTACGATTTCACCATTATATATTTAGTTCCCATTTTAAATGGTAATTTAATATAAAATTCTTTCACTCACTAAATACAAAATCTAAAAATATTCAAGAAATTATGGTCCATATTAAGTATCATATAAACATAGAAACATTTTGTATTAATAATTTAAATCTTTAGTACAAATTTATGATTTTGATTTAAATCAACTAATTTATATTGCCAACCTAATATAAGTTTAAAAATCCAAATTAACATAATGTGTACGATTTTAATTATTACATAGGTCTTTCTTCATGATACAACTAAAAGACTCACTTTTTTTGCGTCTTGAACGGTGTTTTGGGAGTGTTGAGGGACTTCAAAGAATTGGCTCGTTCTAGCTTGGCTTCAGGTTCACTTTGTACATCAAAGCCATTCATTTTATCAGGCTTAAACACATATTTCTTAGATTGAAATCCAACAATAGAATTGAAAATAACGTCTATGCACCTGGGCATAATTCCTCCATCTTCTGGCTCACCCGTCATAGTGTATGTTTTGCCACTTCCAGTAACTCCATATGTAAAAAGCAAACTATTCTTTCCTTGAACCAAATTTTCAACCAGAGGTAATGCAACACTGTCAAAAACCTTCTTTTGAGAGTCTCGGTCACAAAACACCTCATTGAAAGTAAACTGAATTTCCTTGTACATGCAGCCTCTGTTATTTAAAACTTCAGGAGAAATCATCTGCACAGTTGTTGGTGACAGAACTCTTAAACATGCTGTCTCATTGTCGTTCATGAGAGGTTTTACTCTGCAGAACACTTTCACACTATCTTTCCCATCCTTTGAAGCAACTCTTGGTTTTGGCGCCTTCCGATAAGGAGTCTGGCATTTCCTGTAATGAAATTTAACATTACAATCACAATATTATAATTTGTAATTAACCTTCAGGCCCAGACAACAATTAAAACAGCTCCTCACACAAAAATATCAACAACTCTTTCTTGAGACATTACAAAAACCACTTCATAACAAAATCCCAAATAAAAAGTAGATTAGGAACTGCTAGTTATAATTAGCATCACCAAGGAAGGGTCTTCGTAAGTGATTGATTTTTAAAAGTTTCAATTTTTTTTAGGAACTTCAAAGACCTTGATATTGTTTCTGATACGTTTTTTCAAAATTCAAAATATGATGCAATTTGCCACACATTAGTTACAATTTAAGTTACTACAGCATCTTCAAGTGAAAATTCTAGACTATTTACCTAAAAAAAGTACATTCAGAATACAGTTTGGAAAAATTTGTAGTACTATAAGTCTTTATAATGAAGTTTAACACATTTCTGTGTTGTAAAGATACATCATCCTTTTAACATTCTTGCCCTTACTTTGTAAGAAGAGAAAGTATTATTATTGAGTGCAAGAAAAGAGCAAATTTTCACCAGTGAAACTTATTACCAGGCCCTGGTCACAAAAAAGTGGATAATTCTTATTTGACAACTATTATCGGTTTTGTCATTAGATACAAAAATTGATGTAAGTGTACTTTTTTTATTTGAAGTGGTAGAAATTAAACAAGGTTCTTTGTTTAAATGAATACAAAAGAATATTATTAGTTATAGCAATTTAATAATTAGTCAAAATAGACTGTAAAACCACAACTTAAGTGGTGGGCTCCAATTTCCATTTGCCAAGAACAGCAAATGTACAAATAGGACTGTTCAGAATACAAGTAAATAAGAATTAATTTCACAAACCATCTCCTTTCAAAAGGGAGAATTACCATAACATTTAGGAACCTGGAGGTCCAAACTCCTCTGCCCCTTTCCTTAATATCACAAAGAGATTTAATACATTTTGGTGTAAGTATAATTTCGGGGGGGGGGGGGGGGGGGGAGAGAGAAGAGTAAATACTGACATGCAATAGCCTGGGAGACTTTCGGCAGAAGGTGAAAAAGTTACTAATTTCTAGGATCTGGTTTTCACTTTAATTGGCAAGCAAAGAGGAAATGCTTAGTCAGTTGAATTAGTTCCTAAAATTGAAATTTTTGTGTATTCTTATTCACCTAAAGAGCCAAGTTTTGTTGACAACCATAATATTATGATCAGTATCTGTCACTCACACACACAAAACATGAACTTAATTTTCTATTAAAAGATAACAATATCAAGATGCGATTCGCTGAACTAATTCTGCCTTATTCCATGAGCTCTGCGAACATTTATTAAACAGCATAGCAAGTTTTTATTGTTATTTTGCAATAACCTTTCATAACTTCAGTTTAAATATTTTATCAAGATTACAGTTAACTTTGTCACAGAGGCAAACTACGAAAATTGGAACATTACCTGCGAATACTTATCGACTATTAATTCAAATTTCTGTGGTTGAAACAATTCCTTTGTACTACTTTACGTACCGAGAACAAAAATTCCTTTGTAAAACTTCCCTTTTTACCATATGCCCTCATACTGTTCAGGAAAATACATTTACAAACCAGTGAATTACAAAACTCACCACCGCGCAAAGTAAAAACAAATACGACACTAAAAGTATAATAATTACGTTGAAAGCCACTCACATAGATTTCATAGTTGAAGAAAGTAACGTAACTTCTTCGTAGCCGAACACGGAGCCAGAAACAATCCCACACAAGTGCTCAAGTCCAAGAATTAACACCGTACACTAAACAGAACTGCAGCAAACGTTTAATTCAAAACGGTTGCGCGCAAGAGTCACGAACGTCACACCCTGCGCTTAAATTTTCAGCTGTTTCACATTGCTACCAATATGTGCCACTGAAAAAGCGGGATATGTTTCACACGCAAAGAATATGCATCATAAAATGAGCCGAAGACAAAAACTATTTATTTTTATTTGTGTTTGTGTCAGCACGCGTATTATTAAAAAACAACTCTTTGTTTCCAAAACCCAACTTACTCAATTTTTCGTTTCTTTTTCTAGCTATTTCGCTCTTTAGATAATTTCCCGTTAACCTTTCAGCGGTCGCGCTCGTAATCGAAGCGCTAGTAGTAAATTTTGTATCACTTTCATTGCTAATGAGTTTTGATGGCCTTTAATTTACGACTAACTTACTTTTTCATTTTATTTATTTAGCGAAATATTTACGCGTTTAACTTGAAAAACAATTGACAGCAAAGAATACGATGAAAAGTGAAGTACTTTGATATTCTCTATTGCTTGCTTTAGTACAAGTTCTGGTTAAATTCTTCCATTAGTGGCAAGAATTATCATTTTAATTTTCAGAACTTGAAAATTCGATGACTTACATCGTAGGTAAAATTGTCATTGGAGCGAACAATTGTATACTATTAAAAAAATGTTTTCTTTTAAAATTGAAGGGCTTGTTTTCAAAATGTCTTTGTCAACCCTTTCAGTCCAAGAGGTGACAAACCCATGGTGTTTTTTTTCACGTAATACACTTTAAAATAGAGATACTACTCTAAGATATTTTGTTTATAATCGGATTTTCAATATTAATTTTAACTCTCCGTAATATTTTAATAAATAAAGTAACTAATTATTATAAATTAGATTCATTATTTTATAAATCATGAGCATTACAGCAATCAATTAGTTCTGCTAAATCATTAATGAACCCTGTTTTACTCAGATTTGGAGGTCTGTAAATGAAGATTGCATTCACATTATATTTATTGTTCGCAACACATTTGAATGAACCTGCCACATTTTCAAAGTTACTAGTACTAAATTTGATTTCATTAATTTCCAGATTAGTATTAAAATATACAATTAAGCCACCACCTCTTCTTCTGCTTCTTAAGTTGTATATCATGTTGTAATTTTCAATCTTAAATACATGAATCTCAGCGTCATGAATATTAACCTCAGTTAAACACATAATATCAAATTTTCTTTCATTGAGAATTATCTGCAGCTGTTCAAAGTGTTAACGTAGGGATTTAATATTTACATGGACGATATTTAAGCTTTCCATTTATTTAGGAATGGAATTCACTTTTCTAAATTTTTCCCAATCTTTTAGTTCCGAACATTTTTTGAAATTAATTTGAGAATTAATTATTTGATTGTTCCAGTCCATAATAATTGCTTGCTTTTCTAGTATTTTTATAGTAACCTCTCTAGCTCTTTTATAGATGCTATGTTATTAATAATATCGTCCTGTTTTCTTACGAGGAGGATGATGATGATGATGACGATGATAATAACAATAACAAGAACAACAACACCCCGTGTGGTGCCGGGGATTTTAGTAAATTAGCACCACGGGACCTCCCCCTGTCGTAGAAGGCGGCTAATGGGAGCAGCTGTCCGCTGTCACTCCCCTAAACATCCCGTCATTCCCACAAACTCTGTGTGTCATTGCTTCCACTTACTTGTGGCACACATCTGTTTTCTGTCCTGTAGGCCAATCTTGTATCGGCCAACTCTTGTGTTTCCGCCCCGACGCTATTAGGTTGCGAGGGCTAGGGAGTCGTTTCCATTCTACCCTTCTATTCTAACTATTCTTCTCTGTCCCCCCTTGTTCCTTTCGTTTCCTTAAGCTGGCGGTAGCTCAAAAACGCTAGGGCAAGGGGACCCTGAAGAAAAGAACAAGATGGAGGATCTGTCAGGATCGACAGTTGCGGTGCAGGGGATCGGAGCCGCAGTCCCGGCGGTGGGTGGTACGCAAGCAGGCCACCGGGCGTCGTCACCCAGCGACCGCAATGCGGATCACCCGGCACCGCCGGCACATACTGCTACGAGTGATAGCGAACCTAGGGTTGAGGGATCCCTTAAAACCCTCTCCAGAGAAAAGCCCGGAGTTCAATGCAAAAAGATGAAAATTGGAAAATCAATGAACTATGATGACTAGTTCAAGAACACCGCAGCGGTACTAAAGCACCTTACAGTAAAAAGAACTGAAGGAAATTTCGATAAAGTGAGCCCGTTTATAATAGAGAGGAGTATTAGCACCTGCGCTGGATCTGCCGTAAAAGACATACAGAAAACTTCATCTGGACTCTTGGTAGAAACAGTTAATGACAATCAACGTAAAAAATTACTAGAATTGAAGAAAATAGGCACTATAGATGTTGAAGTAAGTGCTCACGGCACACTGAATACCTGCAAAGGTGTTGTAGTTTGCAGTGACTTACTAAACTGCAGCGAAGAGGAAATAGTTCAAGAACTAGCTTCTCAAGGAGTCATTGCCTGTCGTAGGCTAACAATGAGGCGAGATGGGCAGAAAATTCCTTCAGCGTCCCATGTGCTGACGTTCAAGCGTTGTACGTTACCAGAGAAGATTAAAGCAGGCATTCATCGTCTAACCGTAGGAATGTTCTTTACTCATCAACGACAGTGTTTTTAATGCTTACCATTTGAACACTCGGCGTCTAGGTGTGCGAGAATCAAAGTATGTCATTGTGGTAAGCCATTTCATAGTAATGATCCATGCATAGATCCTATCAAATGCATTAATTGCAGTGGACAGCATTCATCATGGTCAAGATACTGCCCAATATATAAGCAAGAGGCAGCAAAACAACAAGTAAAAGCCAGACAGAAGATCAGCTATCCTGAAGAAAAAAAAACGTGTGTCATGAAAATAAAGGAAATATTACCTACGTGGAAGCTGTTAGTAAAAGCACAAATTTGCCTTCTTTAGTAGTAAAAGAACTATTGCCTGCAATAACTCGATGCATAGAAAAGTATTTTAATGAAATTCACAACAACAAATTCAACACAGAAGACTTAACCACAAACACTCAAAGTGAAATAATAAATGAAAAACAATCTTCAAGACCCCCACCAAATGAGGTAGAAAGAAATCCAGTAGCTGCGCCTACAGTCATACCAAGCAAAGAAGTATCGACAACAGGCTATCGAAGTCGATCGCCTCGTTCTCCTAAGCATACCAAGGACAACTTCCTCAAACAAAAAATGAAATCAATGACCAATGATGAAGACAACCACTGGCTCTGAGACAAGTTCGATGGTAAGTGCTGAAAATAATGATTACCAATTCATCGATCTATGCAAAACTCCGCGTAAGAAGAGAAAGAAGAAAGGATGACCAAAAGGAAAACCAAGAAAATAAGCAAGATTACGCATCGTACAGCAGAAAACCCCCATTCCAACCATGGAACATTAACGGCTGTATCTCGCATTACTGGGAGCTGAAGTTGCTACTGGCCAATCTTACACCAATGTGTGTGTGCCTACAAGACACCCGGTTTAATCCAGAAGACCGTTTCAATCTTAGAGGATATAAAACCTTTCGCAGTGACATAGAATCTGATAGACGAGCTAGAGGTGGTGTTGCCGTATTGATCAACAACGCACATCCTGCTAGTCATCTCGATCTCTCACCTCTACAAGCAGGAGCTGTAACCCTACACAAGCCATTGAAGATGACGGTATGTTGCATATATTACCCGATGCCTCATTGCGAAATGAAGATCAAGAGATAATCGATCAGCTACAGCCTCCATTTCTAATTCTAGGCGACTTCAATGCTCAGAATCGATTTTCTGCTACTTAACAATGAATGCATACTTTTAAACACAGGAGCCAACCATTCATTTTAACGCTAGAAATGGCTCATTCTCGGCCATAGATCTCTCAATATGCATTCCAAATCTTGCAACACGGCTGACATGGAAACCACTGCCAGATCTTCATCAGAGTGATCACTTTCCTCTGCTGATATCATCAAACATGCCAATGAACACAGTGCATTTACCGAAACGTTGGTGTACCAACCGTGCAGACTGGCCCAGCTTCATCAGACATATACCACCAATAAATGTCCGTGGAAACACAGATAAAGACGTTACTGATTTCACCAACACTGTAATATCTTCTGCTGTAAAATACATTCCACAGACTAGTGGCCGCTCATCTAGGATTCCAGTACCATGGTGGAATACGGAGACAAAAGAAGCAATAAGGCAGAAAAGAAAAGCCCACAGTATATATAGGCGTGCACCAACCCAACACAATCTTATTGCTTTCAAGCGTCTGCGTGCACTCGCTCGCAGAAAAAGACTAACAGCAAAACGACCAAGCTCGGAAAAGTACGTAACAACCACAACTCGGACGACCAAAGTCACGAAAATATGGCAGAAAATCCGGTGAATAGCTTGGACAAATTTTTTCAGTACAATCACATGCATAGAACACGAAGGACAACTAATCTGCAACCCTGACGAAATAGCCATCGCATTAGCGACCCAATACTCCAGAGCCAATAACACAAACAGCTATCCTAAAGACTTTCTCGAGAAAAAGAAAGAAGAAGAATAAGTACTTGACATTACAACCGATACAGATAAGCCATATAACGTTCTTTTCACATGGAGAGAATTGCAAGATGTCATAAATGCAGCTGGAGACACCGCAGCAGAATCAGATAATATCCCTTACAGCATACTACGTCGGTTGCCGAAGATCTGGAAAGAAGAGATAATAATTCCACTTTTAAAGAAAAGCAGGTTTCGCTGACAGTCTGTCTCGGAAAAATCTTGGAAAAAATGGTTCACACTCGACTAATATGGTGTCTCGAAGGAAACAACCTCCTGAACACACATCAGTGCGGGTACAGACAACATCACTCTACAATAGACCAGCTAATATATCTAGAAAACGCAATTCAGAATACCTTCATCAAAAGAAAACATATGGTTACCGTATTCTTTGACCGGGAAAAAGCATTTGATAAGACCTGGCGATATTCTGAGACAGCTATGTAACTGGCAAATAAGAGGAAATCTAGCAAAATTTATATCCAGCTTCCTTTATACCAGATCTTTC